CATTATGCAAGCCGCGCCGCAACCAAAGGGAGGCGGATCGACGGCCGCACCCGCACGTCCTCTGCCGGCCTTCTACTACCTCGACGACGAACGTGTCTTCTCCGAGCCCGCTGGATGTTTAAACTTCCTTCTCAACACCCACAAACCGTTCAACCTAAACACCGGTCGTTTTCAAAACACCCTCCCGGAGGCTGGGGTGAATGGTGTGCCACCGAGCATTGCCGAACAGCCTCGGACTCCCTATTTGCTCGTCTATACTACCAAGTACACTGAATGACTTTTGTACCAGTCAATTGCTACTTTAAGTGCCTTTTTTCAACGTATCCTCCCTATCTTCTCTCTCTGAATGATATGTATTGCAGCCGTAAGGGTGTGTGCATGTGGAATTGGATATGGCGGGATCAGATCTCTTAATCAGAACTAAACAGCAGGGGCGGAAGAAGAGAAGTTTGTCGACGTATTCTTGCAGCGTATGTAAAACGGACCAGGCACTTTCTAGAATATGCAGGGTCAAATCGAAATCGGACCAATCAAATAGTGTCCTTGAGTGATTACTACGATATTAATAAGCGCAGAGCTCGATAGGGCGGCGCTCGAGCGGATCGGAGTGGCCCTACGTAACTCACAGAAGAATGTGTTTTTGGCCGAATTACGTACCGATAGGAGGGCAAAACACGAGGAAACTGAGGATCGAAATGAGGAGGGGAAAATGGCTTCGAATAAGGAATGGAGAACTGTTGCAGACACCTTTTAACATCGGGGCTGGTCCCTACCGAAGAGACAAACGATAAATATACGGAGCTTGTGCTATAACAATGAACGAGCTCTGCATCTTTGTTGACAAACGAACTCCCTATATTATTGTGCTAGCAGAAACGTGACTCTCGGAAAATATCGGAAATCATGAAGTATCCTTCCGTGGTTATCAACCCTTAAGAAGAGGCAGGGTAAGCCGTGGAGGAGGAATCGTTGTTTGTGTTCATTCTAATATAACTGCAGTTTCCGAGTTGGATGCCATGACTGCAAACGTTGATGTTTTGTCCTTAACTGTTTCCACGGTCATTTGCAGTTGCGTACCGTCCTCCAAACCAAAGTACCGAACGATTTCCTTCTCCTGACTGAACTGAACAAGGCTTGTTTGAGCGAAGGTGTCCTCATCATTGAGGGTTTTAACACTCCCAATATCAACTGAGAAACTTGAAATGCTTTGAGTTCCTCGGATACATTCGGTCATCGTTTGCTTAAAATGGCAGTGAAAAAAATATTCTGCCACAATTTATCATGTGGAACACCTGTTGGGTAAGGACAACTTTCGAATCGTCTGGATATTGTTTTTACCCGAGGTAAATAGTGTGCTGGAGTTACAAGATCTCTCGCCAAGGTGTGCTAGTGATTATATCGTACTACCCCTTGGGTATTCCATGATCGTGCAGCCTGACTTATGTTTATCACTGGAAACAAATATACGTTAGGAAGACTCCTTCAGCCGTGCAAATCTCACCAATACTGTGGACACCCACATTTTGGGGGATCGTAAACAAATACTGGGTTACGTTCAGTTCGTTTTTAAGAAGAATTATTAATACGAATACTCCATTAAAGCGAGGAAAAAAACAAGAAACATTCCGCTATGGTTAGACAGTAAGCTTCAGATCACCTTTAAAAGAAGCAATAATATGTGGAAAGGTTTTCGAATGACGGGCAGTGCCGACTATTTTCAGGAATATAAACGACAAAGGGATATACATATGTAAGTGGAAAGCAAATAGATCTCGTAGAAACTATTTAATGTCTTTCTTATTGCGTATTCCTCACGTACCCGTGCCACTCGTGGTGTGATCAACCACTTTCTTCGCCTTTGCCCAATAATTCAGTACGAAACTTGGGCTAGGGGACTTTTGCGATTGGGTGGACCTTTAGTGACTGGCTCCAGTTAAAGTGCACTTTTGGAAGTGCTCGCTGTTTCCGGTCTCGGTAACAGCCAGTCACAGGCCGACTCACAGAGGACTTCATGTGACGACTGTCGAGCAGACCCCACTTCAGACGCCGTTCGCTGGCTTGCGGTTGTGAGGTCATCTGGTAGTCAATTATCTACTGCCTCTTCTCCAATTCATTCTGTAAAGTATATATTCTTCCTATCACTCTGGCCTTCCCAAGACTTCTCTTTCCTCTCTTCAGGAACCGGACCTGGAAGATCGCAGCCGTTAGGGTTAAACCTTAATAGCGTAAGCACTACGCGATAAACCTACGATAAAACCTTACCGGCGTAAACGAGCGGGAAGCATATGTTTTGATCGTGCACTGGATCAGGCGTGCTTTCATTGTATTTCCGTCCAGACTGTTTGACTTCCGATACCGTTGCTTTCTTCAGAGAGCAGATAGATTTGTTAATTTTTTTATAACCGAAGATTCTCCTTGCTGGACTATCTCCGGCCAGCCATGAACTTTACTTCATGATTTAAATTTACATGTATTTCACCACTAATTATTGTCTGTAAAAGTGGTTCTGTAAACCTTAAGTTTGTCTGTATTTCATGCTGTGTGTATATCAGCGTTGCGCCCATCCCACCTCAGGCGGCCGACAGCTAGGCGGTTGCCTGTTGCTGGCGGTGGGGGGAAGAGGGGGGAGAGATTGAGGTCGACCCTCAGCGTTTTTCTTTCCGGAATTTATTCGAAGTGAATTGAATTGAACCCGCGCGGTTTGAATTTTTGAGCAAAACCAAGGCGATTATACTTCAAGTTCTACACCGAAAGCTACCGCCTTTGGACAAAAATTGGATCAAAAAACACTGTTTTTAACGATCCTCAGTCCACTTTCCTTCGATACCCCCACTGATCGACGAGGAAATTTTCTCCAAATCGGGCATCTTGCTGGAAATATTGGGTCGGCCTACATAGTCTACTTGTCCCAATCAATCTCGTCAGGGTTCTGAGGAGTATCCACGGACAGGCTGTCCTTATATTTATATACTGCTGTGTATAATCACTAGGAGGTTATAATTATCTAATTAAAGGCCACCCTATCGTTTGTTATCTTGCTCTTTTAAACCCAAATTAGCTCCAGTTAGCAACTATTAGACTACACTATCTCGGTGTAT